AAAAGTGATGGATGAGATTTGAGGCGTTGTAGAGGACAGTAACAATGAGCAGCTGCTTCGTAATGACCTCTCAGGTCTCTCAGGTGTTTGTAATGTCGACGTCTGATTCACTGTAATGACCCAACACATGTTTCAGCCCTGAAATTAGGAGATTCAAACATGCTCCCCGTGTGTAACTGAGGATTATTGATGATTATTACGACCTGCAATTACAGCAGCAGACTCTGTGTGTGCATGTGTTTATCCTTATCTCTAATTCTACTTGATGATCGGCAACATCTGCTGTGTGTGTTGCTAGGAAGCCTCATGATCATTTCCAATAACAATACCGATATTTTTGTATTCACTTTTGATGATATCTGCGAGTACAGATCACAGTGAGCAAAATGACCAGGAGAAACCATAAGGCCGTCAACATTTTTGCTACTTTTTTTAAGATGTATTTTTGGGCCTTTGAGCCTTTTTCTTGGACAGAGAGGACAGTGAATACAGTTGGAAATCAGGGAGAGAGAGAGTGGGGTTTGACATGCGGGAAAGGAGCCACAGGTTCGGACATGGGTCGCATGCTTGGAGGACCATGGCCTCCATACATGGGACGCACGCACTAACCACTGCGCCACCAGCACCCCAACATTTTTGATATCACCAAAATGTTACAGTCTTTGTTATTTCAATGATTGATAGTTTAAAAATGTACAGAAGCTTTATAAACAACTACATCTATATCATGAGTCAGATGTATAAGAGAGGAATGAATCCAGGCAAACTCCTGCACATTGTCTAAATTGCACAAAAATGTTGGCAACCTTTTTTACATGGATAACAAGTTGTGTCTCAAGTTGTGTTTTCATGAATTTCTGCACTCTGTAATCTCTGATTTTTTTCAAAGAAGAATGTCTTTTTAAAAGAAGAATGTGTGATTTTTTGATCCAGTCGCCCTTTGAGCACCAGCATGAAACCAAAACAAACTGCTGTTTGGCCACGCCTCCTCCAAACTGAAGCCTCCGCTCTCCTCCAGCGACACACCTCCAACCCCCCTCCACTCATGTTGCACTAAGGAGTTATGAATTAGAAAGCACCATAATTAAGCACCATTGAGCACAAGCGGCGGGTTAGGGTTCGATATGCAATCACCTATGGTCTGCATTGTTGTGTTAGCGCTCTTTAGTCACTTTGCATGTAAACTGACACAGAATGAGCGTGATCTAAAAACTCTTACTAACATCCAAATAATCAGTGAGTATGTTCTTCTTCTTCTCTCTAGTTCTTGACTAAAACAGCTTTTATACACAAGGGGAGGAGCCGGCCGTCCCGTCCATGTAAACACGGCTCTGACAACAACACAGCCAGCGGGACTCGAGCTTCTCCCTCATTGTAGACAGTCATGACTCAGAGACACATTTACACAGGAGAGACTTTATTCATGATATATTTATCTGTAACATGTCGCACATTCTTCCTTTTAATAAAATTCTCAAAATCAGAGTCTGGATAATTTTTACCTGAATCAGTTCTAGCTCAATAACGGACAGATCTATAATAATTTGACAGATCAGACAGGTTCAGTGTAACTCTATGATCCCCTTTATGGTTTGTGTTTGTTGAATTTATTGTGTTGTTATTGTTTGTGCTGTTACGACACAGATGTTTTGCGCAATCTGACATTTCCACTACGTTTGAATCCATCTTTATTATTATTAGTCTGAAATGTCAGAGCTGGCCAAATGTCGAACGCAGCTCAGACATAAATAATGAAACGCCGATAAACATCAGCTCATTTCGACAACTTGTATAATATAGAAAATAAATAACAGAAGGTGCAGAAATTCATCAGTCACGAGAGAGTGCAGAGAAATTCAAATGCAATTTCATTCCTATGTTTGTATAGTTTTTCTGGGAGTCTCGTTTTCTAATCTGACGAGACTTTTTACTCCTCATTCAACATTTCTCTGACAAAAATATGAAAGGAATAAAGAGACACAAAGGCATGAAAAATGATCACAAATATGTTAAAAAAAAACTTACAAAATCCAAATGTTATTTTTGTTTTAGTAAAAGAAATCAAGGTTTTTCGTTCTGGGAAACTAACACTGAAATGTGAAGTTGTTGTGAAGTAATTGAAGTCACACGTCTGTCCCCTTACTAATTAAAGTCTACAAACTTTAATATGCAATCCCCCATTTCCCTTTATACACAAACACAAAGAAATACACAGAAACACATGCGTGCCAACACACTAAAATGAATCTTTTTTTGTTTTTTACAGGAAACTTGTTGCAGCTCAGATTAGATTTCTTCACTAACACAGCCACAAATATCAGTGCTGAGAGTTCTTCCTGGAAACTGAATCTTAGTATTTATTCAATAACATCAGAGAACATTTTAAAACGCACTTTTTAAATTCAATTCCACTGTGAAGTGCTTTACACTCAGCAGATAAAGGATACAGTCACAGAATCGAAACGCAGAAACGTGGGAAACAAACATCAAACAGAAAAGATTGACTGATTCATTTGTTTAGTATTAGTTTTTGATTTAAAGGGCAAAAACTGAACATTTGGTGAAAAACTCTACTTTAAACTTACAATATGGGGGGGGGGGGGGTAGGGAGTAGCAGGGAGAACTCTCATAAAGTCCTGGTCTCACCCTGCCTTGGTCTTGGTCTTGACTCGGTCTTGATCCCTAAATGTCTCGGAGCATTTTGGTCTCAACTCTCAAGTATGTCTGGTCTTGGTTAGTGTGATCTTGACTACAACACTAAGATGCTTGATTAAATGCAGGTTAATTTTAAAGGAGGGTGGTTGCACAACATATATCCATGGGCAGTTTATAAAATGCAGCAACTGTGCACATTTACACAAGTTATCTACTTCATTCAATTTTAATGTTTTGGTACTTTTAATAATTTCAATAAAGTTTTAGTTTAGCTTAGATAAGTTTAAAAGGATATCTTGTCCTAAATTCTTGTTGGTTTCTCGTTTAAATCTTCCAAATTGTATTTTCTCTTTTCTTTTTCTCTTTGTGTGACTGTCTCTTACTCAGAGGGGAAGGTGGAAGTGACTAAAGAGGGGATGAAGTTGTGTACGATGGGACCGGGAAAAGTGTTTGGAGAGCTGGCAATCCTCTACAACTGTACCCGGACGGCAACTGTCAAAAGTGAGTACACTGTGTGTGTTTTTTCCGGTACATTGGCAACATTCTTTGTTTAATTTGGATGTTTCAATGATGGGGATCAGTTTGATGCCTCAATAAGTCTCTTACACAGAGGATTGGGTTGGTCCTCATATCCACGTACAGATTTGTGACAAATGTCCTCATAAACCACAAAACCCATTTAATGTGTGTTATTGTTTGAAGCTCAAATCAAAAGAGCATAAATCCAACATATAAAGAGCACAGTTGATATTGTAGAACCTCTAATGTATTGTAGCAGTAGTTCCCAACCTTGGGCTGGGGACCCTCACAAGTGGTCGGAAGATAAACCTGAGGGGTCCCAAGCTTATTATAGCAGTAAAAACACAAGTGTTTATTGGAGGAGGAAATACAATTTTGTATCACTATATTCCATTTATCATTTAATTAATCACGATAATGAACCATAAATTTAAGTTTGTGTAACTGAAAATGTCATGTCAATTTTAAACTATCGAATAAATCGACAAAATTCTCCTTTGCTTTAGCTGCAATCACCTGTGTCCTGCATTGTTGTGTTAGCATGCTAATGTTAGCGCTCTTTAGTTAGCTCGTAGCTTCGCATTGTTGTGTTAGCATGCTAATGTTAGTGCTCTTTAGTTAGCTCGTAGCTTCACATTGTGTGCTAGCATGCTAATGTTAGCGCTCTTTAGTTAGCTCATAGCTTCACATTGTTGTGTTAGCATGCTAATGTTAGCGCTCTTTAGTTAGCTCGTAGCTTCACATTGTTGTGTTAGCATGCTAATGTTAGCGCTCTTTAGTTAGCTCTAGCTTCACATGTTGTGTTAGCATGCTAATGTTAGCGCTCTTTAGTTAGCTCGTAGCTTCACATTTCATGTAAACTGACACAGAATGAGCGTGATGTAAAAACTCTTACTAACATCCAAATAATCAGTGAGTATGTTCTTCTTCTTCTCTCTAGTTCTTGACTAAAACAGCTTTTATACACAAGGGGAGGAGCCGGCCGTCCCGTCCATGTAAACACGGTCTGACAACAACACAGCCAGCGGGACTCGAGCTTCTCCTCATTGTAGACAGTCAGGACTCAGAGACACATTTACACAGGAGAGACTTTATGATTTATTTATGTGGAACATGTCGCACATTCTTTCTTCAGGATAGTTTAAGAGGTCAAAGTGTTCTGAGAGGAAAACTGCTCAGGTGGAAAGTGTTTCTACCTGAGCAGCAGAGGGCTGCTCATTAAATTTGATGGAATGTGGAAAATATCCAGAAACATGTTCCTACATTTTTATGAATCCTGGATGATCGAGTGCAGAGGCTGTGCGAGATAGACGAGTCTAAATAATTGTTCATTTTTAAACTGTAGCTGCAGGAATATTGGTACATCTGCAGCTGTTCATGTCGGGAGGCAATGTAAGTAATTTTAACACGCCGTGCATACTTCATTAATTATTCAAAATGTTGACACCTCCATGGAACTGCAGTTCATCTTCTAAGCTTCAGATATATACGCGAGAGTTCTCTGTGTTTGAATCCGTTTTTTTGGTATTACTTTTTTAATAAAACAGTGCTGACATCTTTGTGTAAATATTTATATAACATGCAACATTTGACCACAAGCAATAACCTATGTTTCCCTACAGAGACAAGTTTCTTTATGATATATTTAAAGGTTAAAGGTCAATTCTGGACTTTAATATTTATAGCAAAGATGATGAAAACATTTTAAAGTAAAACTGAAACTGTTCTTGAAGTGGGCTCAGTCATGCAGTCATGTATGATCTTGTGTTTCCTGTTTGGTATTCTATGATGATTTGTTCTTTTATTGTTCTGTTTGTGTTATTGTTTAGTGTGTTTTGAAGACATACCTAGGGGATGGGCTTTTGAATTTAGCTTTAGGTGATAAATACATATCGGATTACACGCTTCATTCTCGCCCCTATACAAATAAACTTTAAGAAATAAACAAAAGAAGTTGAGCAGCTGGACTTTTCTCCTCTCTGCTCAGTGAGCGTTAACCGTTCGAGGTCGGGACAGCTGGAGGGAGCTGATGTGAGTTTGGGAGACGAGCTGGTTGTCGACAGGAGGAGTGGGAGTTTTGCCGTCTGAACCCATAAAACATCAACCACAACTCTGACAGCTGTGTGTGTGTGCTTTTTAGTGTGTGTGGACCTCCAACTTTTTGTCAGTGCTTCCTGGTGGAGTGCTCGCTAAGCAGTTGCCAGGCAACACCATCCGGTCTTAGCCAATGAGTTAAGTTTTGGCAACAGCGTCTCTTGGCAACAGCGCTGGGTTCGAGGGGATTCGGGTTCCCGTTTGCTGAAGCTTTTTGCTCGTTATCTTCATATTAACAAACGAGCTCCAGCTGGAGTTTATCGGCTCTCACAGCCTTAACTTTATCCTCTCTCACTTCAGCACAGAGCGGTCAGTGTCAGCTTTATGGCTCACATGAATAATTTAAATCAGTTTATATGAAAACAGAAAACACTGAACTCTAAGTCATGCTCAGTTGACATAAACTCAAGAAAAACTGTCAGGACTGTGCCAATAAAAAGAGGCTTTGTTTTCCTGAAATACTAAATACTCCTGAAGGGTTCGGACTCGATGGATAGAGAATAACTTTTATTCTTGGCCACAAAGCAGTCAAACCTGATTGAAACAAAAAGCAGTTCAATAGCTGCACGTTTAAAACCCCAAAGAAACAGTTACTAGACGGAGATGAATTATAAATGAATCAGTGAAACTCAAAAGAAGTTAGTCTCTGAATACAGAGATGCAACAACAGGTAGCTGAGATACAAAACAACGTCTGAAAAGTACAAAACGGGGGAAGAGTCGGTGAGACAAAGCTAACACTTAAAAGCTAACAATGAAAGATCACTCTCTGACAAACCTATTGTGCACAGAAGGCCTTCTTTCAGAAGTTGCACTGTTGCTAATAACATAGATGTAGTACACGGGCCCCTCAGATTTTTGTGTTGTTCTTAGCTCTGTGAATACCACATGCCATTAGTCAACAAGGTGCGTTCGAGAGCAGCTACTTGAGAACATGAAATCATTCATGTTTTTATTAAATCACCTGCTCATTTATTCCTACACGCTCTGACCTGACCTTTACCGCTCACACATGCAGCAGGTCAGTGTCGCCGTGGCTGTAAGGCTTTAATGCACATTAATGATAATCATTCAAGTGTGACAAGCCCACCTGAAACACACACACACACACACACACACACACACACACACACACACACACACACAAAAACAACACATACACACACACACAACACACACACACACACACACACACAACACACACACACACACACCACACACACACACACACACACACACACACACACACACACACCACACACACACACACACACACACACACACACACACACACACACACACACACACACAACAACACCACACACACACACACCACACACATACACACACACACACACACACAAACAACCACACACAAACTCACACACACACTTTAGATTCTTCTTAGACATAATATGTGCTGCTGTGCAGTCTTCCTGTTGTTTCCGTGGTTACGCAGACACTTGGCATCTCCGTAGCAACAGACAGAGAGTCATAAAGCAGTGGAAACAAGAAATAATAAAAAATTGACCAAACAGATGAGCTGTGATTTTTACAACTGATTCATAGAACAGCAGAAGGAGTGGGCAGTGTGTTTAGGTCCTCGAAATCAAACAACTAACAATCCATATCCTGATCAGCTGATGATTTTATGATCTATAAATGTTGGATGATAGTGAAAAATGTTTTGGCTTCACTGGGAGCTGTCACGTCATCCATCTTTATGTAAAGTCTATGATGAGAAACTGTAGAAAAGGTGTGACTTTGTAGTGTGTTAAAAGGATTTCTGGGCATTCTTCCTCTAACTTTATTTTATAAAACTGAAATTTAATAAAAAATTGAAGAAGTCAGATATTAAAAATTCAATAAAGCCCCCTCTCTGATCTGTAATGATCGCTCAGTGTGACGTTCAGAGAGTTTATTTTTTCTGAGCTCAGAACTTTACAGACCTCTGCTCATTAAACTGAAGGAAGTTTGATCGTCGCCAAGGAAACTGCAGACAATCTACACATACACACACACACACACACACCTAAAACACACACGGAAGACATCAAGGTAGCTCAGTGTAACCATGGTAACCGGCTGGCTGTCTGTCTAAATATCGGTCCAGGGCTTTTAAGGAATAACTGAGGATGGAAGCTCGCTTTAAATCTCAAATATATGTTTTGACTTTATTTCTTCTGTTTGTTCAGATTTCTGTAGAAAGTTAGAAAACTGTTAACTTTAGTGTCTTTTTTAATATAGTATTTGTCTTGCTGTAACAAAACCGATAAAGCCTAAGTCCTTCCAGAGAGGGGCGTGGTCAGACACAGCTCATTTACATATTTAAAGTTACAGACACAGAAACAGCCTTTCTGAGCAGGGCTGAAATAGAGGGGTTTATAGACATGATCAAATACAGGATCAGAGTGGATTTAGAACAAGAAACTTCACACACATGTTGAAGAGGAGCTCTGACACTTATTTAAACTGAAGAGGAGGAGGAGGAGATGGGACCTTTAAACTCTGGTTAAGTTTTTAACAGATGCTGTGTTGAGCAGAAATGTAGAAAAGTTCTTCCAGCTTCATAAAGATCAAAATGAAAAAAATAGTTTCCAGGTGAGTGAGAGCTGGACGGGTCAGCTATCCAGACCTCAAGAGAAATAACAGCAGAGATGTTTTTATATAACAACATTCTCACATCGCAGACTTTTTCTGTATTCTGACAGTTTGATCTTCATTCAGCCTGAAATGTCCTCTTTCCTTCACTCCTTCTCTTATTGATTTCCACCTCTGACATCTTAACAGAATTTCCAGCAGATGAAACGAGGTGAAGTCTTCACCGTTTTAAAAGTCATGAAAGCCAAACAATCACAACATCAGTTTATACTGTTTTAACTGGGAGGATTCCCAAACACAGCCCAATACTTTTTTAATCTCAAAAAGGATTTTCAGTAAGAGCAGTTCAAACAACAGTCTGACCCTGAATACCATGAAACATATCTTTAATCTGAAGTCGCACAGCCGCATATTTGCAGGAGGAAAACAGATCGAGGTGTAAAGTCTCCTTTTCTTTCTTTTCTTTTTCTGCAGTTACGACGATTTAAGAGAGTTAATGTTGCATGAAATTATTCAATTAAACCCTCATTTTGATCTGTTTGAGTTTCTCAAAGGCAGTATCATTGAATGATTTGTCCATCTGGTTGGTGTGTAGTAAATGTGTCAGTCATGTCGTTTCTCTCCATGACGGTCTGACAGACAGACTTAGTGGCATCCATTTTTAATAAACGTCTGAACTTCTGCTGGATGTATACAGTCTAACATCACACACAATCACATACACATGTGCTGTATATATATATATATATATATATATATGTGTGTGCTGTTGCCATGACGACACCTGCATGCTGTACACATACACCCACACAATCAACAGCAGCAGCAGCAGCATGATTTATTTTTTCATCTGATCTTTAAGTCGAGCACACTCACAGATTAGAGCAAATGTGCATGCAGGCACACATGCGTATACATCCCCACGTGCACGCGGCACACCTGATGTGTTTAAATATTCATATATGCATAAACACACAGCTGTACACTCTGATAACGAAATCAGATCCTCATATCGTCATGCAGGAGCTGCCACCTGAGACGATGTTCAGGATTTACCTGCAGCTCTGATGCCTCTCACAGCCACAGTTCAAATATAATAAGGCCATTTAATATGATTACATGACAGGAAGTTAATAAATGTGTATGCAGGGCTTTATTTAACATATTTCTAAATATGTGTTTCAGCTCTGGTGCATGTGAAGCTGTGGGCGATCGACCGTCAGTGTTATCAAACCATCATGATGAGAACCGGACTCATCAAACATGCAGAGTACATGGACTTCCTCAAGAGGTGAAAACTCTCTTTTCCCCTGCAGGTTTACACTGTACACTGTATATAAGAAATGGACGTAGTCACTGTGACAACACCTGGGCACGGCTTAGCATCTTGGCCTTTATCATCTTGATTTATTTTGGAGCCAGAGGCCTCAATAATTTGGCTGAAGTACCCAGAACAAAGAGTAAAAGTTGTATTTTGTAAAAACAAAGAATTAAACTTTCTCTCTCTGCAGCGTTCCCACCTTCCAGGGTCTGTCAGAGGAAATTCTCAATAAACTTGCCGACGTCATGGAGGAGGTGAGACTGTACTCACAAACACACAAACTTTGACCATTACTGAGCTGGTCATATATGAAGAAACCTTTTATTCCTGTATATTCTTATTGTGTTTTAGCACATAAGTTATTAATTTCTGTTAGGACCTAAAGACAATTTCAACCAAAATCTTTAAAAGTGGATCTTGAGAAAATTTACAACCCTGCCTTTACGCATTGTATCATTATTTTGGGGGAAGGGGTCCTGTGAGGGAGTAGGAGTGGCCCAAAGGTAAATAAGTTGGGAACCACTGGAGTATACCATTCAAAAATATGGTTCAAGGAATTTATTCTCACCCAAGGAAAGAGACCAGATGGATTCACTACATGTGGTATTACACACAATCTTTATGGTCAGATCGATGTGAGAGTACACTGGTGACCTTTTTTTACACACCGCTCCACAGTTCAGTTTTGAATCAATGATGTTCCCAAGGTATTAATAAGATTGAACACACTGGACGGTCTGACCTTTGATAACAGTGTCTTCATTAATGTGAGTTTTCCTCCTAAAATCAATCAGAATATCTTTAGTTTTAGATATTTTTAGACTTCTCACATACTGTACTAGTCAATGACCCGTGAAGCAGACTACCAATCAATCAATCTTTATTTGAATAGCACTAATTCATAACAAATGTTATCTGGAGACACACAAAAGAGCAGGTAAAAGACCTTACTAATTGCTGTGTTACAAAGACCCAGCGTTGAGCACTTGAGAACATTTAGCAAAGTTACAGTGGAGAGAAAAAACGTCCTTTTAGACTCTAACAGCATCACCACTCAACAATAATGCTACACACTGTATGTGTTTTAATTTAAATGAAAATAACTATTTCCACAAGTGGAAGTGTACATACCTTGTATTATTCTATTATTGTATTTTTTCACCCTTTATTTAACTGATGTAAATATGTTTGATTTTTAACTTCTTGTTATTTTTAATCATTATATTCCTGTTTCCTGTTTTCTTGAGCTGTTTCCCCCATGGGGATCAATAAAGTTTATCTTTATCTTTAAGAGATAAAACTCTTGGGACGGAGGAGATGCAGGTAGAAGGATAGGACAAATAGAGCTTGGGGGAGGGCTCCATAGCAACAATCTGAGGAACCTACGAGACGTCGCGCCCACAGCTAAATGAAGTTAATAAAGCAGATAGCTACTGGACGAACTCCCCCAGACACAGGAACTTTATGTTACTTAATTAACAAGTTGTCTGCATAAATATTTTTAGGCGGACTCGTTAAAATCATTTCCTAATGGGGGTGCCGGTGGATTAGCGGTTGATGTCAGCGCCCCATGTGGAGGGACTTTGTTCCTCTAAGGCAGGCGGCCCAGAATCGGGTCCGACACATGGCTAATTGGTTCCCCGCTCTCTCTCTCTCCCTCTCCCTCCGGTTTCTGGCTCTGTCCACTGTCATATTTCTAAGAAGGAGGCTTGGAAAGCACACAAAAATATCACTTTACAATTTGAGAAAAAAAACAACATATTTTGTAGAATTTCATTTTTCTATCAATTTAATTGTTTTATTCTGATTTATTCGAAAGTCCCAAAAAACATAAAACACAATGATTCTGATTAAATTGTAAGCCTTCATCTTTATGATGCTACTTTTAAATGATCAAACTAATAATGATAATAATAACTTTATTTATATATCACCTTTTATAAACACAGGTTTACAAAGTGCTTTGACAAACAGCAGAAACAAGAACAAACTAAACCAAACACAGAAGAACATAAACAACAACAAGAACATAACAAATGCAAAATACTAAAAATAATTAAATACAATTCAACAGAAAAGAACCCAAAGTGCACGATACCCAACAGACATATAGAACCAGACCATCACAAGAACCATCACAAGAACCATCACAAGAACCATGACAAGAACCATCATAAGAACCATCATAAGAACCATGATAAGAACCATCACAAGAACCATCAGAAGAACCATCATAAGAACCATGATAAGAACCATCAGAAGAACCATCAGAAGAACCATGAGAAGAACCATCATAAGAACCATCACAAGAACCATCAGAAGAACCATCATAAGAACCATCATAAGAACCATCACAAGAACCATCACAAGAACCATCATAAGAACCATCACAAGAACCATCACAAGAACCATCATAAGAACCATCATAAGAACCATCACAAGAACCATCACAAGAACCATCATGAGAACCATCACGAGAACCATCACGAGAACCATCACGAGAACCATGATAAGAACCATCATAAGAACCATCATAAGAACCATCACAAGAACCATCACAAGAACCATCATAAGAACCATCACAAGAATCATCACAAGAACCATCATAAGAACCATGATAAGAACCATCATAAGAACCATGATAAGAACCATGATAAGAACCATCATAAGAACCATCATAAGAACCATCACAAGAACCATCACAAGAACCATCATAAGAACCATCATGAGAACCATGATAAGAACCATGATAAGAACCCAGGCAACACAAGACTAAGAGGTGTTAAAGTTTGTGAGGGTGACAACGAGGAACTTTAATATACGGAGCATCTCCCATGATGAACATTAAAAGGTGTTACACCTGTTCAGAAAGCCAGCCTCAGCGCTCAGACTCACTGTTGGAAGGGTTTTACAAATCCACTCCCACTCCACACTCCGAGGTTTTTGGACGGTACTCAATGTGGTGGACCCTCCAGGCGAGTGCGAAAGACAGCGTGGAAGTGCGTAGGGTGGAGGGAGGGATTTTTAGAAAAGCGTAGTGAGTACTGCTGGTTAAGAAGTCAAGAATCCAGAATCCAGATTGCTATGAAGTCAAACTGTTCTGAAAGCCTTCTGGTTGAAGCACCAATCAGTGAGATGTGTAGAGAGTGAGATGATAAAGGTATCTTACTATCTGATCAGACATTAAAGAAACATGCTATGTTGAAGTGTTGGCTTCTCTGACAACAATTCTAAAAAATAAAGAAAAACAAAGACTGTATTTTTAGTCAATAGCATGACTGTCTTCTTCTGACTCAGACTGTTTTCCCTCCAGTCAGACTCTTCTTCTTCTTCTTCTGTGTTTAGACCCATTATGAAGACGGAGAGTACATCATCAGACAGGGAGCCCGAGGAGACACCTTCTTCATCATCAGTAAGGGAAAGGTAACACAAACACACCTTTTGTATGAATCCAATTAAATGTATTAAATTGATCAGCTGACTCCCTCTGATCGTCTGTTGACACCTGTCAATCAAACTTCCTGACAGGTGAACGTGACCCAGGAGGAGTCGGCAAATCAGGAGCCAACACACCTTAGAGAGCTCACCAGGGGGAACTGGTTTGGAGAGAGAGCTCTACAGGGGTAAGATCTTGTGACCTCTGAACTTCCAAACTTGAACCCTTAAAAGTCTTAACCTGTATTCATGATCATTGTGAGAATCCTCTCAGAGAGCTCACAACTTCTTAAACAGCTCTTCTGAAATGTGGCTAGTGGTTTGTTTTACTCCTTTGTGACATTTTCTGAGCGTTCCCCTTGAGGCCAAATGTATCTTTGGCTTAGAAAGACAGTAAAAAACGCGACTTAATCACAGAACATTCAGACGTCACCATATTGTGTATTTTTAGGTTAAAGGTCAGGGTCAGGGTCTTCAGCTCTTAATAACACCAGTGAGCGTTCAGCAGCAGTCTGACAGGAAATGAGGTTAACAGGAGAGAAGCACTTTACTAAAGGTTGGAAGGGGCGCTGGCTGGTGTGTTTTCATGACCTTCAGTCTTTGTGAGGACCAGCTTGTGTGTCCGATGTGCACAGAAAGGACAGATTTGGAAAGTCGGGACATTTTCTGTACTTCTAATAATTTATATTTTATATTTTTATTATTGCCCAGACTGACTAACTGCAGGAGACAGACTCTAGTGGACACTGGAGGAACTGCAGCTGTAAAGTTAGACATTTTAACATGGGGCTCTATGGGGACTGACTCACTGCAGGAGACAGACTCTAGTGGACACTGGAGGAACTGCAGCTGTAAAGTTGGACATTTTAACATAGAGCTCTATGGGGACTGACTCACTGCAGGAGACAGACTCTAGTGGACACTGGAGGAACTGCAGCTGTAAAGTTAGACATTTTAACATAGAGCTCTATGGGGACTGACTCACTGCAGGAGACAGACTCTAGTGGACACTGGAGGAACTGCAGCTGTAAAGTTAGACATTTTAACATAGAGCTCTATGGGGACTGACTCACTGCAGGAGACGTTAGCTTTGACTCAACTGTTCAGTTGCTCTGAGGTTCAGCAATCACGTTTAGGAATTGGTGGCTGGCTGGATTGAAATATAAAAAAATGCAGATTGGTTTTGCAGATTTTGCATATCTTTCCTCTGATGGCAGAGGTTTGTATTTAGAGGAATTTGTGTTCCTTTATTTTAGGCTCTGTAGAGGCTAATAGTTGTACCTTATTCTTTACCCTTAGATTTGTGCATGCTAGTAAGCCTGCTGTTCAGTTGCGGTTTTTCCAAACCAATCTCATACCTGCTGATGCCCTCCAGGATTACCCGGTAGAATATCAGCGTGATCACATGGCATCTCCTCGAAAAAATGTTCCATACAGAGCCTCGGGGGATCTATGAAGATTAATTTTTCAAGACGTATTGACTGAAATAGAACACGGCACAGATACACACGCAAAAAACATGTGAACTAAAAGCCTGGAAGCATGACACCTATGTGTGTGTGGCATGAAGGAGGACGGTTTCACCCTGCAGGGACATCAATCTATGGTCCTCATATGTACAGTCAGACAAACGTGTGTGTGTGTGTGTGTGTGTGTGTGTGTGAGAGAGTGTCACTGTTGCTGTTCATTTATTTGATTGACTTTAATTAAAGAGGTATCTGGTTAGATGTGTGTGTTCCTTTTCTTATTTCTATCAGTGTGATCATGTGAAAATACCTCCCATATGCACACACACACACACACACACACACACACACACACACACACACACACACGCTATAACCAGTTTGTCAGTGTCTCTGGTTTGTGTCTCTGCTGGATTTCCAACCTCCTGTCGGCATCATCACAGCCGCTGCTAATTGGATAAACTGTGTTTCGCTGTTCACAGGGGAGTGCTGTTTACACATCCAATGTGTGTGTGTGTGTGTGTGTGTGTGTGTGTGTGTGTGTGTGTGTGTGTGTGTGTGTGTGTATGTACTGCTTCTTCTATCTCTGTGAGGACAGGCACAGGTTTAAAATTTAAAGTTGGGATATAATGTTTAAAATTTGTTTATTTCCCTTAATGGGATTGAGAGCATGTTTGTAAATATATTTAGAACCTGAGGACATTGTTCCTGACCATGAGAGGGTTTTTTTACACTTGAGGTCAAGTTTAAGGAAATTAACACATGAAAGAAACCTGAAGAAACTATTTAACCATGAAGACATTTTTAGACATTTTGAATATTTAATAAAAGAGAGGACCCCATTTCATAGTGGGGATATTTTTAGAAACGTGTAACTTTTTAAAACAAGAGTCCCAGTTCAGAACATTTTGAATAAATTCGATTTTATTTTAAACAGTGAGGATTTTTTATAAAGTTAAGACATATTTTAGAAGTGGAGAACTATGGTGTTATATTAATATCAAATCTCAAGAGTGAACCATGATTACAATCGTATTATATTATTTCACGCTTGCACAAATTAACAATCTCTTAAACAAAGTTTTTAACTCGGATTGCCTTTCCAAAATGAAAATGAAGAAATATTTTAAACGAAAGGAAATAATTCAAAAGTAAGGATGTTTTTGTAAAGTTAGGACATCCCTTAAACAGTGAAGAAAACTCTCAGGAAGTGAGAAGATTATACGAAGGTTGGGACAGTTTTCTGGAAAGTGGGAACATTTTTGCACTTGGAGGACGACTTTATAACGTGAGGACAGATTTTACAACGCTGGGCATTCTTAAATCTAGGACATTTTTAAGATGTGATATTTTCATGGAGTGAAAACATCTTCATCGTCATTACAATCGTATGACTGAGGACGTTCTAAGACAGTGAGGACATCTTAAATAGGTAAATTTGGTTTTCTGGAACTCAAATGTTTCTTCAATGTAATCTTTTTGGAATTTGACGATTGGCCTTACAAAGGGAACACACATTTGTCTGGTTATAATCTTCAAAGGTGTTAGCTGGTCATTTTGAGACGGGGTCAGCTGGTAGGGAGAGTTGTCCGTTATGGGTTGTTGGTTTAATTCCGCTCGTCAGAGTGTCCTTAAAGAACCCACTGTCCCCACACAGCTCCTGATATCAGTATGTGAAGTAATGGTCGTGTTTTGTCCCGCTCAGATGGAACGGCCGGTTTAATTCATGAGTCTTTGTGTGTGTCCACAGTGAGGATGTGAGAACAGCCAATGTCATTGCTGCGGAGGCCGTCACCTGCCTGGTCATCGACCGAGAGTACACACACACACACACACACACACACACACACACACACACACATTACGACACTGTTACTTACGGGGATCTTTCACAGAATCAGTGACTGCTTTTCAATCACTTTTTAACCCTCATGTTTATACACCTGTCTTCTTCTTTTTGCCTTTTTAAGCCTTCCTTACTCCTTTTTGATTTCCTAATTGCTTACATTTCCCAAAATATCCTCAATTTCTGACATTGCTCTTTAAATGTGACAGCTCAGTTGGCCTCAGCGTCCACCCTTCAAACGCTTTAAGAAATTTCACGGACTGAGGGCATTTTCATTCATGACGAGTACAGATTGTTCTACATGAGCATATAGATAAAGTCCATTTTAAAGACAAGGCTAAATGAATGGGAAAAAATATATACAAGATGAACAACTGTATACCTTTGCATGCAGCGAGAAGAAATATGAGCCACCAACCTGCATGTGCCAGCATCTCATTGGTTCCTACCACACTTAATGTTTCTGTCTATTTTCTTTTCTTACATGGTTGGTCCTCTTTGGTCTCTTTGCATGTAGCTGGGTTCCTTTGGTGATCTTGTGCTTGTGTGCTGCCCTCTGCTGGTCCTCATCACTAACTACAAGCAAACACATTAAACACAAGAAACACTTCATGATTTCTCTCTCCGCCCAAAAAACTGAAATATGACCATTTATAATCTCAACATAATAATGATGTTTATCTTTCTTTTTCATCATGAGCCTTTAACTTCTTTAAATAATGAACATACTTTTAAAACTTTGATTTATGATGAAATGGTATCATTTGTGGCTGCAGACGTGAAACACATCTCTCTCTTCAACAAACATTAAGTCCATTAAAATATTTTTAAACTGGGACACTTTAGTTTAAATAATATTTTAATAAGTTTAGACTAAACTTCAGGGACTTATTTTGGTTTTTATTATAAATATTGCCACATGTGATTTGTGAGTTGCCATATCTTTTTTTTAAGATTATTTTTCTGTTTGAAGTCAGAATTTAAAAACAGCTTTAATCATCAGAACACAAAATATATTTGGTGTTTACACTGGAGACGCTGTATGCTGATTGCTGCTGTCTTCTCCCTCTCAGCTCATTCAAACATCTGATTGTGGACTGGACGATGTTTCGAATAAAGGTTACGAGGACGCTGAAGCCAAGGCCAAGTAGGTTTAACGATCACATCACACACACACACAACACACACACACAACACACACACACACACACACACACACACACACACACACAACACACACACACCACACTAGTGTTACCAAGACCAAGAAATTTAGGGATGGAGACTGAGACCAGAAGAGAAGACTACGAATATCACTGAAAAATCATCATATTGGGTAAAATCAAACTACAAATAAATAAAAATTATTTGTTCAGTTATTTGGTGGTCTTGACCGGTCTTGATTTACAATCTGGAGTCCGCCAGTCTTTGGCCGAGACAAGAACGAGAAAAAATGCTTAAGATTCTGAGACGAGACCTTCTAAAAGTGGTCTCAGAGACCGGTCTTGAGACCAAGCCTGATTTCGAGCTTTACTTAGTAAAAGTCTATATTTGTTTGTAGGAAAAAGCTGCTGACTCTGTCTTTAAGGAGAACATATTCGACTAAAAACAGCTCCTCCTTCATGCTAGCGTTCATTGTTTTTTTCCTCCGACATGTCAGGAGCAGGTTTGTTGTCTCTGTGGAATGTTTACAGCAGAAACAGGATCCTCTTATGTAAGAAAAGCTAATAATACAACGTGGCATTCAGGGAGCGACACAACCAGGGAACTAAAGGACACGACTAATTACGAAGACACATAACACCTCGGTCCTGTCAGGTGATTCTGTCCCTGACAGTCATTCTTCTGCGTCATAAATCAGTGTTCAGGAAGAAGATCCACCAGGATGTGATTCACACTGCGATGTAAAAGCACTTTGAGTCGTCAGAAGTCGAGAAAATAAATATACAAGCTTAATCCATTTAGCATTTAACTAAAGTACATTCGTTAGTATCTGAAAATTGTAGACAGAGATTATACCTGGCTTGCAATGATGTCAGATTTTTAAGCTTTGATATGATTCTAGTAAAAAATCAAAAAATATGAATACCTAGCGTATGGACGACAGTTTTCACTCATGGCCAAGTGGGCGGTTCCAGCAGTGTGTGACGTCACGTGAGAACTGAGAATTGCTTTTAGAGTACACAGATGTGAGTTTCTATTTACAGTAGTAGTGATGACATAGGGAGGCATTTTAAACACACACACACACACATACACACACACACACACACACACGGTAGGAGTGTAATTTAAAATGGTGTGTCTTGTATCAAATGACCGTTGGCATGTCACAGAATGAAGTCATCTCCTCTTATGGTATGGAATCCATACAGCGCAAACACCACACACACACACACACACACACACCACACACACACACACACACACAATCACACACACCTGTCAGTAATGGGGTTATGTTAACAGTACAAAATAAACCTTGGTTGTTTCATGCATATAAATACAATACTTGTAAAAATGTATTTTCATTATCATGTCAAATTTACAAATGCTTAAAAAAATTACTCCCTTTCATATTTTTATGCAAAAATTCAAACATAAATATCTCCTAGAAGACCCTAAATTTATATCCATTTAGGGCTGCACAGTGGTGCAGTGTTAGTGCTGTTTCCTCTCTGTGAGGAGGTTCCTGGTTTGAATCCCCGTCTTCAGGAGTCTCTCTGTGAGGAGGTTCCTGGTTTGAATCCCGTCTGTCAGGAGTCTCTCTGTGAGGAGGTTTCTGGTTTGAATCCCCGTCCTTCAGGAGTCTCTCGTGTGGAGGTTCCTGGTTTGAATCCCCGTCCTTCAGGAGTCTCTCTGTGAGGAGGTTCCTGGTTTGAATCCTCGTCTGACAGGAGTCTCTCTGTGAGGAGGTTCCTGGTTTGAATCCCCATCTGACAGGAGTCTCTCTGTGAGGAGGTTCCTGGTTTGAATCCATCTGTCAGGAGTCTCTCTGTGAGGTGTCCTGGTTTGAATCCCCGTCCTTCAGGAGTCTCTCTGCATGTTCTCTCGTGCATGGTGTCTCTCCGGGGACTCCTCGTCTTCCCTCCACACAGTCCAAAGAATGCTCGTTAGGTTAACTGCTCTCAACTGCTCCTCTCAACCAATGACAGCTGGGATCAGCTTCCACCCCCTCGCTACCGGCGGGAAAAGCTGTATTGATAATGGATGGATGTTTGACTACAGACAACACATGTTTTATTACACTTAAACATCAACATCACGTTAAGATAATTTGACTTAACATCATTGATTCTGTGTGAGGTGTAACTTTGGTTGTATCACGTTGTCGACTCTTAATGTTTACTATTTTCACTAAGACAGCTTCAGCACGTTGAAGGTTGGGGGGATTTGAACCCCGCAGAAGCTCTAAAGGTTAATCTCTCCTCGCTATGACAAACTATTTTAGAGTGTTTATGGGTTGGTTTGTCCAACAGTCGATCAACAGCATCTACAGTTTCTGAATCTGATTCCACGGCGGCAGTTCCAGGAGTAGTCCCGTTTTGGAGAAGCACTGACAGCACGAACACACACACACACACACACACACACACACACCCACACACACACCACACACACACACACACACACACACACACACACACACACACACACACACACACACCACACACACACACACACACACACACACACACACACCAACCGCCAACATCTGGGTTGGCAGACAATATATTTATTTTGAGCTGAGGAGAAAGTTTACTCCACAGAAAGATGCTCTTGTTTTTAAAATAACCCAAAATCCAGGTAGGAAAGGAGACATTTTTGGGATTTTTGCATTAATTGGACAGGACAGCTGAAGAGAAACAGGAAAAGTCTGGAGAGTGGAGAGTAGGGGAACGACATGCAGCAAAGGACAGAGTCAGATTCAACCCACAGCCACTGTGAACGAGGACTATTGCATCCGTTCATGGGCGCACAACATAACCGCTAGGGCTCAGGCACCCCAATAGAGAACAAAATTTAAAGTAAATATTGTCTTTAATGTAAAGTTGCCATTTTCCAAACAATCTCTGCTATATGAATGATCGATAGCATCAAAAAGTAATGAAACTAGAAACGACAATCACTCCCATGATTCCCGCCAGCCTCGACGTCGTCTTTTTGTTATTGTTTGGATTGAGAGCCCCTGGTGGCGGACTTTACATAATGTGTGTTTAAACTTACGTACCAATAATATAATGAGTGGAATCAAAAGTCATTTTGGATACATTGGGATTCAAATTTGATGTCATAATAAGATGCTTTTGCAGATTATAAAAATAAGTAGGAACACCGGGTTGACTTGTATTGGAGCCTAACTTGCTATCACAGATAAACAGAGTGAAATAAAATTTATAAATGCTGAAGCTTAGGGCTAACGTAGAGTTGACATTTTGGACTGGTTTATATGACAGATGATGTGGATGTTGGACCGTTTGTTGTGGTGGTATAATCCTGCTCCTGGCTGTTAAACAGAATGTTGTTTTATTTTTGAGATCCCTTCACCAGACATCAGACTCTCCTGATGACACCGCAGATCTCTTCACAAGACTTGACTTTACATTTCTTATAATATAGATATTAAACTCAAACCATTACACCATGGACACATGCAGAAATTAAACACTTGAAGACTGCAGGAAGCTCGCTACATCCGGAGAAATCTTAAGTACTCTTTGTTGTGTCCTGCGGTTTTGAGGTCGGGACAGTCTGTCCTCAAACCTTCAGTCATTTTTATGACTGAGC